ACTTGGTCTAAAGTATCTCTTTCCCTTTGCTGCTCAATGTAGTTGTTTTTTAAATGTTTGTTTGACTGGTTGGTTTGATTTTGCAGTGTTGGGGATAGAACCCACGGCCTTGCAGATGTTATAGGTAAGGACTTGTACAACTGAGCGACATTCTCAGTTCTCACTATACATTCTAAATTATCATGTTATCATGCATTTTAATTTGACCATGAGCCTTCTCTTCAGTGGTCTAGGTGAAAACCTGCCTACGTGCTTGTTGGAGGCCAGCATTGCTTCAAGGCACTATCCCAAGCTGCCACATAAAAAACAGACAATAGAAGGTGCAGAAATACAGACAGGGAGACATGGTAGGTAGCTATCCCATTACCATAGGCAAGAGATGAGAGTAGCATAGGCTGAAAATGTAGTAAAGAAAACAAAAAGTCATAGGCAGAGTCAGCATATGTTATGCTAGAAGAATTAAGAATAGGGTGGCAGGTAGGTATGAGGAAATGGGGAGAGGAAAAGGAGTGGAGACTGTGGTCAGAAAGGACTGTTTTGAAGTCTGAAATATTGCAGGTGGCAATACTCCAAAAGGAAAAAAAAATCACACACACACACACACACATAAGAATTATGTCTCAAGGAACAAGGGACCCTGGAATATCACTGACGCCATTGACACCAACCACCAAACAACCACTCAGCTCTCCTCCTTTATTCCTATCGAGCTGTCAGAAAAAAAAAAACATTTTACTTGCCCCCAGTGGCATCCATGTGTATCAGTGAACAAATAAGTGAATGGCTCCACTCTTTGACCCTACACAAGATCCCCAACACAAACTCCATTCACTACAACTTCCCAAAGTTCTCTGCTAGAAATTTCTTCTTACTGACCTGAATTCTAACCCCTTCCATTCAGGACAGAGATAATAAGGTCTCCATCTCCACTAAGACACTTCTTTACTTATCCAAAGACATTTATCAAGCACATTTGAGTCTCCCTATTATAAACATCCTTTTACATTGCTCTATTTTGCACATGACAAATTTTCAGTCCTATTACCATCATGTTTGCTATCTACTGAAGGAATCTAGAATTCAGCCTCACCTCAAGGACAAGGCCCATAGGTAGCACAAAGAGAAGGAATAAGTTACTTCCTCTGATCTCTTCCATATTCTAATAACGCATCCTCATATTAGCCTCTATGCCGGCCCCACTGCAGGGTTAACACTAATCTATGGCTGAAGTGGAGTACAGATGAAGATAACATGCATTTGCACACTGAAGGAACAAGTGCTCAAGATGGCTAATCTTGTTCATTTGATTGGATTCAGAAACATCTAGGAAATTAGTAAAACATACCATTGGTTATATCTGTGAGAGCATTTCCAGAATGATTAGATTGCAAGGTGCTGTGTTCATTAATAGAGTAATTGGAGGAAGTAGGTCATTAGGGGCATGTCACTGGTCTATCTTGCCCTGGTCCCTGCTACTCTTCTGCTCTGCTTCATGTCCAACATGATGTGAGCTGTTCCACAACACTCCCTCCACCATGAAACCTCTGAAACACTGTGCAAAACAAATCTTTCCTACCTTACGTTATTTCTGTAAAGAATTGGTCACAGGAACAGTAAAGCTAACATAGTTAAACAAACATCAAAGTCTTGAGAGCTACCATAAACGGTATTAGTTAACAGTATGAAGGTGAGGCGAGCCATGATGAGAAAATGGCAGGGCAATAAATTCAAGAAAGAAGAAAAAATGCAACCCATAATCCGCAGCAGAGAAAAGCTTTCTTTTCATCTGAGGATGTGGTTATGAGGTGATGGTGATGTGGGAAAAGAGACCAAAAGGCTTAAAGACAGAGTAAAAGACACAGCAGATTTTACTAACACTAGATATAATAACACAGCATAGCACAGGAGGAGAGAAATGGCCAGTGTGGAGTTCTAAGTGGTGGAAATATGCTAAGTTACTATCAGTAACTACAGGTTAACAGCATGTTTTTACTCACCACTACCCAAAACTGAGAAGTCTACGTATTAGCCTGGGACCTTTCAAAAAAAACTAAAGAAAAATAATGTACAAAGGCAAGAGTTATGACGGAAAGAATCATAATGCTGCTTTATATAGATACCTTGAGGCAGTCCGCTATTGATCACTCCTGGTTCATTGACTTGAATGGTGTCATCTTCAAGGTAGAAATAGATTTTATAGTATCTTATTCTAAAACTTTCTTGGCTTTTATCAGGCACT